ATCCCTTGAAGGCCATGATCCCCAGAATAACATTCCAGACACTCCATGGAATGGTGTCAGCTGTCGGAACCTACTAACCCACACCCTCCCAGCCTGCCGGGCCACGCTTATCACAAGCCACAAATATGGGACCTGTCGTACTTGTATCCCTCCCCCTGCACCTCTTCTCCTGGTAACCAAATACAGTGCTTCCTTTTGGGGGAAATCCACTCCACCTCAACCGTCTCCCTCTCTGATTTGGATGAGCTGTTCTGACCCCCGGGTCTGGCTGTGAGGATGTTATAGGTGAGGGGTCAGCAGTGCTGTTATCAAGGGTCTAAGGGTCAAAAACAGGATCCCTCCACCCCTATATTTCTAAGGCCTTGGTGCTAAGAACGATTTTTGCATTTTTAAAAGATTGTTTTAAAAAAAAAATCAAAGAAGCAGCCATAGAGACCTGATGGCCTGCAAAGTCTAAACTGCTTACTAGCTGGTCCTTTAGAGAGAAAGTCCATTGACCCCTGCTGTGGATGCACAATGACTGGTTTAGGACTGGGCAAAGGACCACCTGAACCCATGGCCGTGTCTTGAGACTTTAGCTGGCGCTGTCCAGAAGGAGGGCCTAGTCCTCTAGGTCTGGTTACTCGAGAGGAACATAAGCCTGGGGCTCCTGGTGGCCATCTCTGACACTTTATAGAGAAAGGCTATGGACAGTGGAGGCACCCCTGGGGAAAACAGAATCCAAAGACGGAGACAGGCTGTGGGATCTGGAGACAGCTGAGCCTTCTGGTTAGGTGAGACAAGGTATTTCTTCAAACTTAAGCCACTCTGGGTTGGGTCTCCTGTCCTTGCAACTGATGGAGTTACGATGAATACAGATATTGGCAAGTATGACTGGATGCCTTTGGGGATGTTATGTTATCCACTTGGCCTGCCAAAAGTCTATCTGTCCTACAGGATGTTGTCTCTTCCTATAAGGCTTTGAGTCTCTCCTTTGGTTCCTCGGTGGTTCATTCTGGGATTTAACCATGTACTCCCTCAACTGCAGCTGTCTGGGAGAGCACATACTGCATCCCTAACAAAGCCATGGACAATGGAAGGGGGTGGGGGAGGGAGGGAGGAAAGGCACATTGTTGCTGGAGCTCTAGAATCATGCTAGAAGCTTTATAAGCACTATAGCATTTATCCACCTGCAGAGACTGAGACAGTAACTCCGATTTAGAGATGGGAAAATGAAGCTCAGAAGTAAAGTGGCTTGCTCAAGCCCACACAGTTATTAAGAAGTCAAGTCAGGAATCACCCTTCTTCAAATCACAACATGGTGTGTCCTGAGGATCACACCCAACCCTTCCCCAGCCACCTGCACCAAAGCCTCTCACTCCAGCTCTTCTTTTTCCTGAATCATGCAGGAGCCTTCCACTGCCTGCAGATCAAAGCTCAAACGTTTCAACCGGTTCCCAAGCCTTTCAGGATCTGCCCATGGCACCCCCAACTCCAGCCAAAGCAACACTCAAAGTGCTGGTGCACCCTGAATGACAGGAGAAAGCTTCAATGCCCAGCAAGTTTTAACAGAAGGAAACCATTAGTTTGTGAAGCCCCCGTTAACAAGCAGATTGAGCGAGCTGGGCAGGTTCAAAATTAAAGTTGCCTGAATGTAATAATAACCAGAGAGGCACTCTAATTGTGTGTGTGTTTTTTTTTTAATCAGAAAGCAACTAAGGATGTTTTAACTCTTTGAGGAAGAGGCTGGGTTTTGGAAGCACCACAGCAAATCCTCCTAGACAGAGCCCTCTGGTACCCCAGCACTGCCTGCCACGCCAGGTGCCCTGGGAAGGCAGGCTATGTCAATCTCAGTAAGCAGCTATGTAATGCTTAACAAGTCACTCTCCCTCTCTGACCTGTTTTCTCATTTGTCAGGATGAAGAGAATTAGCCTATCACTTTGTATCCCCAATGGAATTAGGAACACTGCTGTGAATCCTTTTACAATTTCCCCAAATAGAAGACATTGCCCCCCCCCCCGCCCCCCCACTTTTCCCTCAGGACCTTAGAATCATCCCAGCATTGTACAACTGCAAGAAAATGATTATATCTCTTCCAGGTTTTTTTTTTTTTTTTTTTGTGTGTGTGTGTATATAAAGATACAGACAGTAAAACATACGTCAATTCAACAATTCCTACAATTCAATGATGATGGGTCTACTTTTCAAGTTACACCACCCTTCTCCAAATCATTTCACCATCATAACACAAACTCACTGCCCCCTAAGGTTCTCCTTTAACCTTTTGAGTTGCTGCTGTCAATTTAGTAACATATAGGGAATTCTTTAAAATAACACAGTGCTCAGACAGACATTCTTTCCTAATTAAGCTAAACTATTGTTTGGTTTAAAGATGACTTCTTTAAACCATTTCTTTAAAGATGGTTTTGGTTTAAGGTTTAAAGATTTCCTCAGGGCAATTGTTTTGTGGGGAAGGGGGATCATTCAGCCTCAATGGCTCCAGAAAGTCTGGATTCCATGAAAACTTGAAGTTCTGTTCCACATTTCCAACCCTTTTGATCTTATGATCAGCATTTTTCTACAGAATCTTTGACCAGAATGTTCAGCAACGGTAGCTGGGCATCATCCAGATCTTCTGTTCTCATGGCAAAAGAGGTAGTTGTTCATGGAGGCAGTTAGACACATATTCCAGTTCCTCCTCCAATTCCAGGCGCTCTGGTGGCTTAATGCCTAAGGCACTTGACTGCTAACCAGAAGTCTGGCGGTTCAAACCCACTAGCCACTCCTTGGAAGATAGGTTGGGCAATCTATTTCCATAGTGATACCACCTCAGAAACCCGAGGAGGGGTTGCTATGAGTCAGATCCGACTCGACAGCAGTGAGTTTCCCTCCAATTCTGGGATTCTTAACTTGGAGTCCCTACAGGGTCATAGGTGAAGAGTCTGCAATTGTACATAGAATTTTGTAAGGTAAGCAAGGCAGACCCAGCAGGAGATGAGGAAATGGTGCTGGTGCAGTCTTGGGGGATTCAGTGCCTTTCTTAGGGTGACAGAGGAGAAGTAGGAACATGCTTTCAGGGAGAGGTCCTCAGATTTCATACGATTCCTAGAGAGGCCAGAACCTCTAGCCGAATCCTTCCATTTAATAGGCTGGATAGTAAAATTGAAGCTCAAAGAGAGGAAAGGGCCTTTGATGACTAATGGGCAGAGCCAGACCAGAAGGAGGTCTGTGTCACCTGACCTGAGCTGGACATCTCACTGCCCTTGCAGGTGAGACCCTAAAAGGAAAAAAGTGGGGCCTCTCCGGATCTGGCGGAGAACCGCTGCTCCAAACTGTCCCCGTGCCAACCACGTTCTGGGGTTTTTAGAGCTTGGGGATTACCAGTGTCACCAGAAGAAATCCCCACACAGTGCGTCACCATGCATCTGGTGAAGAAGCAGTGATCATTTCCAGAATCAGTCAGCACATGTGCGTGTGTGTCTGTCTGTAAGGGGGAAGGTGGCTGTGTACCTAAATTTACATAATCTGTGTTTTAAATCTTCCAGCTAGAAAAATATCAAGTAGTTATCCTGCCTTTTCTACATACCTCAAGGTTACCACATGGCTGATGAAGGGAAGATTCCCTTTGCAGAAGCACTGTGGCTGACACAGGTCAGAAGGGCGGCATCAGAACAGCACTGCTCTGCGATCCCTAATGAATGAACAGATCCAGGTGACGATCACCAAAGCCTCCTATGACCACAAGAAGAGATCAGAGGTTACAGGCCTCCAGATGGAAGTAAACAATACCACCTACTGCCAAAAATCCCCGCACAAACAAAAAAATGAAATCTGTTCAAGTCTCCTGCGCTGCCTCCCGACTGACAGAAAATACAGGGGACAGGAGGAGCCTGTGCACTGAGCCCCAGAGGGAAACAATCAGAAAACCCAGCCTGTGGGAAGTGCTGTCCGACAAATGACCTCATTTCTTCCACAATAAAGAAGAAAGAGGCGGAGGACGAACCATAAATTAAGACTTATTAGGGGCCATACCTTGTTTGGGTTCTAATTTAACACACTGGGGAAATCTAAACACTGACTGAATATTTGACAGTGTGAAAAGATCACTGCAACTGTTCTAGGTGTGTCAATGGGATTGCACTTACATGTTAAAAATCTGAGATTTGCTTTAAAATGATCCAGGGGATGGGTGGGGTGTGAGGGGGTAAGTGGGCAGGGGTATCTCACTGCCATCGAGTCGGATGTCTCTAGGGAAGTAGATCACCCAATCTTCCCTCCAAGGACTGGCTGGTGGGTTTGAACGGCCAGCCTTCTGGTTAGCAGTCAAATGCCTTAAGTACTATGCCACCAGAGGCAGGGATATAGATGAAGTGAAACTGGCCATGTGCTGGTCACTAGTGAAGCTGGGTGATGGGGACATGGAGTTTCATTGTGCCACTCTCCATCATAAAAAAAGTAAAAACGAATCTCCCACTTAAAGGGTACATAAAAAATTGTTATGAGTGGTTGCCTCTGGGAAGGGAAAACAGATGGCAGGGGAATGGGGAATGGGAGACTTACTTTTTATTGTTTTCTGTTTGTACTGAATTTTATTCCATGGTTCTGTATTACCTATTTAAGAACAGAGACTCATTGAGAGAGAAAAAAAAAAAAAAAAGAATCGCCCAATTTAAATAACAAACTTCAAAGTGAGCTCTTGATGATACTTCCTTCTAAGAAATGCCTTTATTTAATTTTCCTTCAAAAAACTGGATAGGTACAAGTTAGTTCCACCTCGTTGTTTGGGGAGGAGGGAGATGTGTGGGGGAGACCCAGCTGTCTATTTGCAATGGCAATGCGGTATTCTGTAGAGTCTAAAAGCTGTGACACTTGCCTGGGGTCCTCAGGAACTCAAAGGACATACTTGCTGCACAGGACAGGAGCGCTGCCTGAGACGTCCGTCCTTAACACAGTAGGGTGTGAGTGTGTGTGGTGGTGGGTGGGGCGGTGGCGGCTTGTGGGGCAGCCTCCAGGTGTGCTAGGGCCCATGGAGATGGTCAGCTAAGGAGTTAAACCCTTAGAGCGGCCAGACAATGTCATTTGAAAACACAAGGTATGAAATATAAATAACGGTCAGCTCCTTTCCTTCAACCCAATTTCTAAGCAGTTTTGTGATCAATCGATTTACAGATTGATTGTCTGTGTATTCCACCTTTGCCATCTCCTCTGCCACCGTTGCCACCAGCCTCTGGCTGGGGTGGGGTCAGCCTGACAGCTGGTGGAGGGGCTGGCGGGGAAGAGAGCATCACTGCAGCTCCTTGAGCAGGTGCAGCACGTTGACTGTATACGGGGTCTGTTGCCCGGCCGCACCCCCCAGCTGCACAGGGCAGAGGCTGGGGTGGGGAGGTGTGAACTGCTCAGGGCAATAAAGTCCGTTCAGGAGGAGCCAGATGGAGTCCGGGTCTACCTTCATCAAATGGAGGAAAAGGCTACGGAGAAATGAGAAACAGAAAGGAGTGAGCGGTGGGTACAAGGGAGGGGAGGGAAGGGAGGCATACTGGTGTTTGATCCAAGAGGCGATTTACTGGGCTCTTCAAGAAGGAATGGATAATGTCAGAGTGCTTCTGATAGCAGAACAAACCCTCTGAAGAACCCAAGATGGGGCCATTAGGAAGGTTCTAAAGCCTAACAGAAATAGAGGTAAACAGTTTCATATCCATTGACAGAGAAGAAAAGTAATTAGACTGGGCAGAACAATATTGACATCAAACAAGCTCTTGGCAAAGAAACAGGTTGATAGCTGGGGTGCAAAGCAGTTTTCAAAAAGAACAATGACAGAGCCCACTCTTCTTCACGGGCTCTGCTCAGCTCACAGGCCCAGCCAGGGCGAGGGTTGTACCCGCCCCAGAGCAGGGACTCCAGTCCCGCTTGGGGACCATGGGCGAGTCTCCCCAGTACTGAGCCTCCAGGTCCTTATCTCTGGGCCCTCCAGCTTTGCTGCTGGTCTCTTCTAGTTCTACCCTTTCTGAGGACCCAGAGACATAGATTCTCGGGGTCTGGACACATGCTCATGGCTCCGTTTCGAGGACCCGTGCACTGGTGAGGTCAGAGCCAACGGACCTTGCTGCCCTTTGAGGCCTGCCCTGGTGACCTTTGGCAGAGACACAGAGCTGAAGGGCCTGGGCCCACTGGCACCAGGCTTCCACTAAGGGTGAGGTTCTTTATCTTGGGTTAGACTTTGGGTCAACTCTTGCTTCTCATCTCCTCGTATCTTGTTTCAGAATAATTAATCCACATGCCCAGGCCCATTGCCTGGGACAGTCCAAGAGTAAACGTCACACACCTACCTGACAGGCCCACTGTAGCCACGCAGCATCCTGCTGGTCAACTCTAAGAAGGATGAGGTGTCCTCCCCTTGCAGGCCAGCACCATCTCGGATCACGCAAACCTCCTTGGAGAGGCTGCCTTCCTTGCCCGTTGTGCCTAAGTCAACCTACTGCCACTGAGTCCATTCCAACTCATTGTGACCTTACAGGACAGAGCAGAACGGCTCCACTGGTTTCCAAGGCTGTGAATCTTTACAAAAGCAGGCTGCCATAGAACAGCTGGTGAGTTTGAACTGCTGACCTTTTGGTCAGCAGTCAAGGCCTTTAACCACTGAGCCACTAGGGCTCTGTCTGATACGCCTAGGTAAGGTGCCCCTTATTGTTCTCTTTCAGTGTACCCTTTCCAGCAGTTATCAATCACTTGTCTACTATCTGCCCTCTCCCCTAGAATATAAGCTCCCTGAGGGTAGGAGCAGGGGTGCTTTGTTCACGGCTCTGTCCCAGGCACCTGGCATGGTGCGTGGCACATGGGAAGTACTCAGTCAATGCTTGTTGACTGCACGGTTCTCATCTTAGTGAGGACTCAGTGACTTACAGTCTACACCGAGGACATCTTGTAAAGATGTCATCTTATAAAAAGATCTGAGGGAGCGGTCATCTGCTTACCACCAAGGAAGGACGAAGGCACATCATTGACAGGATTCACATGGCTGAGGGAAGTTAGTCACATTTTCTCAGTCTCAGTTTCCTCATTTTTAAAAAGGGGGGGTTCCCTCAATCAGTGTTTTCCTGAGTGTTAAACGAGGAAACAGTGTTGAGGCGTGTGGTTCCTATCCACCAACTCACAGAGCACACAGCATCTCTCTAGTGGCTCACATTTACTTCCTGACAGCTATTCCTAGGAGCCGCTCCCCTACCGCTGGGCATCAAGTAGGAACTGAAATGCCTGCTAAATGGAACAGAATTTTGGTTTTTAACTTTGTTCATCTGAAAAACCTGTGCTCTCAGGGGTTTGCATCTTACCTCTGTGAAATCAGGTTTGCTTTCTTCCTTGTGTTTAATAAACATATGCTAAAGAGGCAAGAGAAGCAGGTGGGGACCCTTTGAAAATTTTTCTGGCCTGTTTTGTGCCTCAACAATTTAAGTTTTCTTTGCTTAGGATAATCTAGTGTTTATAACCTCAGCGGTGGTTGCTGGAGAAGTGATTAGAATATTCTAATTCATCGTTTCCACTTCACCGCGGAAAGGAGATGGGGCCTGCGTGGGAGACAATTTTTGTTTAAAAACAAAAATATCTTTGATAATTAGAGTGGCAAGGGAAATTATGAAAAAAATGCACCAAAAAACGGGAAGTGGATTTCTATTTACATGTGACACAGTTGACAGTTTTCCCTGGTGCCAAAGACTGTTAGAATGCAAATGGTTTCGTTTGAGGTTTTTTTTCCCCTTCAAGAACTGGAATAATTCTTCAAGCTATAGCACAGCACACTCCCAGCTTCAAGGAATGTTTTTTATCTGGGCAACACGCAGCAGTCTTGTACCATGGCCTGGGTCAGTCACAGTCCTGCTTTGACTTAGACCGCATGAAAGTGTTTCAATGTTCATTTCCCGAGTCCTTTTGAACATTCTGGGGAGCTCTGGTGGCATAGAGCCTAAGGCATTTGACTGCTAACCAGAAGGCTGGCAGTTCAATACCACCAGCCACTCCCCGGAAGGAAGGTTGGGCAATCTACTTTCGGAGTGACACCAGCTTGGAAACCCAAGGAGGGGTTGCTATGAGTTGAATTCAACTCGGCAGCGAGTTTTTTATTTTTTTTAACATGCTAAATTCAGGAGCTCCATTCATTGGCAGGAAGGAAAACGAAGGACCACTTTTTGCCCTTCGAGATCTCTAAGTAAAATGTGAACACGGAAGCAAAGGGGAACCTTGTACAAAGTTCATCTTTTGTTAGGCTTGAGCCAAACTCGTGGGAGAATTCTTTTAGGTGTCATTTCTTAGCTGGTAAAGGGGTAGACTCCTCAGAGGGGCGGAGGCCAGTGCAGTCTTCCTCCTGCCTCTGTGGCTCGAAGCAAATTATTCTGCCTCCCTAAATGGGTTTCTTCTTTGTCCAGCGGAAGAGGATCCCATCCCACACTTCAGCCTCCTCAGAGGGGCCTTCTGAAGTTCTCAGGAGATGCGGTGCAAGGAAAACACTCGCCGGTGCAGGATGAATCACTGTTCTCTCCAGTGTGTGCATGTTAAGGGATGGTTACCACTACCAACCCCGGCAGCACTGGCACCCATGGAAAGTTCTCAGCTACTCCGTAAGGGGCAAAACATTTGTCTTTTGTTTCACTCATTATTTCCTCCATACTGACTTGGCAGGGGTCCCAATTCTCCGCTAGTAGGGTTCTAATTATGCCCATTATTTTCAGGAAGAAACACATGCCATATTCCTCGCCCTCCACATGCCTGAAGTGGGGAGCAAAACTATGCCATGCAAGCAGATGGCTGGCAGGCGGGGCTCTGCTCTTGGTTGGTGAGGTGCGGCGACCTGCTGAACGGCAAACGTTGACAAATCTGAACCTAGAGCCTCATCCGCTTTCAGCACCTGGGAGCTGAGCCCGAGGTCCTGGAGGGCTTGTCTGCTTAGTGGCCCGGTTTTGCTCTAAACCCTCAGTCCTGGGGCCAATTCCTGCCCCCTCTGAGCTGGAAAGGAGGAGCCCCAAAGAGCGAAGAGCCCAAAGAGGAAAGTTAAAGTCCTGGAAAGCCCATTTTGCGTAATCGAAGGCCAGAAGACAAAGACAGGCCTTCTGCTTCAAAGTGATTGGGGCAACTGCCTGGACAATGTTTCCAGTACATCTTGAGACACGCCAGGGATGGTTGTTGAACATGCCAAATGGCTAGTTTCATCTTTTTCTCAAACCCAAAGAATACCACTTTTTAAAAAATACATGTGCACCATTTAACTCCTGGACAAAAATGTCATTCTTCTCGCAGGCCCCATCAGTGGCTCCAGGGAGTGTAGTTATCAAGAGATGATGTGGTCCCTAGAGTATCGGGAGGCACTCAGCTGTGCCTTGTGCCTCCGAGTGTCCTGAGGCGAGTGATTATCTCTCAATAACCTGTAGGGCCGTGTAGCTTAAATGATAACTTGACTTTAAAAAATTTAGAACTCGCCGTTAGGCAGTTTCTAAGCAACCTCTGTTTCCATGGCAAAGAAGCCTGGTGTTTATACTGATTTTTCACTTAAAATGCGGTTTTATTGAATTTCACTTCATGCAGGCGGCCATTTCCCCACACTTTAGCCCTATCTACAATTGACGGGTATCAGTAAGTACCTAATAAACTCCAGAGGCCAAACCAACAGAAGTGGCTCATTCCTTTAGGATCAATATCAGGGAGCTCTGAGTGACCAAACTCGGTGAGAGGGTGCCTGGGGAGGTGGGAAACGTGCTACTGGGATCTGGTTGGCTGGCTCTGGGGCCTCTCTCTTCGTGGTTCCCCAAACATTTATTAACACTAGTTTCAGCTCAGATCTAGCACCTATGCTAGGTGCTTGGGCTATAAAGACGAATGGACATGGGCTCTGGCCTCAAGGCTCCTTGTCTGGTAGGGAGGGCAGGCTGATCACAGAGACCTACAATGCAATGTGGCCAGTGCCATGCGAGAAGCCACTTGGGAGGGACTGGGGAAGCTTCCCAAGGGAAGTGGATGACAGTCACTTTTCTGTATGGAGGGAGCGGGCCAGATCTGTTCTAAGGTCCCTTCCAGCTCCAATAGTCAGCTGGAGCTTTCTAGCATGGACACTGCATCTTAAACAGAACCCCACCCCCAACCCCTAACCGGGGAAAATCAAACAGAGCCCTCTCTGCTGCAGAGGCAAACACTACAGAGTGTATCCTCTGTACGGCTCTGTCTAGACAACACCTGCTCAAAGGGAGCTCTAGAAAGCTGCCGGCCAATCACAGCCCAGCAAAGCTAAATAAACTGTAACTGAAATCCAGGGCTTCCAATCTCCTGGGTGACAAGCTATTCTTTTTCTGTCAATTACTTGCTTGAGGGATCTGCTGTTCCTTGTCTTTTTCTGGATTTATAAAATGCTCTCAGGAGCTGTCTGGGTAAATGCCAGTGGTAAAGAACTTGTGGCTTTGTGATCTGCTCATTTATTTATTTAGGGCTT